TAACCACGCACACACTTTTTCACAATTTTTGTCCATTATTTAAAAGTATTAAAAAAAATAATAAAGTTCAAAAAATTATAACACGGTTAGTATCGTGCGAGCGGGACGCTAACATAATCGGTACTGCGTACTTTTACCAGTCATAATATCCACATAAATATGTTTTTGTATTGTTTTTGTTGTTATTTTAGTTTATTATTATTTAGATAAGAGGTATGTGGAGTTTCAAAACAATCTATTTTTATTTAAACAAGTGGTTCCTAAAATAAGTTTAATGTTAGCGAAACGCTAACACCGATACCGATGACGGGTTAAGAGTTAGGATTGTTGGATTGTACCACTAAGCACATATTTCCTAAGTAATATCTATTATACGTTGAATAAATGAGATCTAATATTAAATTTAAAATCTAATTATCTCTTATTACTTAGCTAAAAATATTAACTTTTATGTTGTATACAGTATAATATACAGTATCCCTTAAAAAAACAATAGAGTTTTTGAGATTAATGTTATTACCTAAGTATAAATATTATTTTGATTAAACTGTAATTAAAGTATGTATATTATGTAAAATAATAGTTAGAAATATTTTTTTCATTTTGTCCCTTGTTCGGTATTTACTTATCAGGTAAAATTAGTTTTTAATAAAAATTTGCACCCATGTGATCTAAGAATCATGATAATAATACACTATTAACTTTTAAAAATCGCAAAGTACAAAATCTAACACTGATCACTATCAAACTTGGTAGATTTGTGTACAAGTTTGTGAACTTTACATTTATACATTTTCAAAGTATCAGTGTTACCTTTAAAAAAAAATAAAAAAAAATAAATTCTCGTTATTTAATTGCCATACCTCGTTTAAAAAATAGTTTGAGATCAGATATATGTATAAGTATAAACAGAACATAAATACTTATTTATTTGTATATAATATAATGCTAGAACAAATTKTTTTCACTAAAATTATCCTTCTATGACCATTTGTCATGAACTTTTACTAAGTTATGGTTTAAATTATTCCTAGGTATGGCACTTTTATGGTACTATCTGGATTAAATTATAATATATATATTATATAAGGTTCACATCTTAAATTAAATTGATTGATTATTTATCGATCCTAATTTATTGAAGGTTTGTGGCAAAGGTAATATTTTAATGCAGTATTATCGAGAAAGTCGCATCCGTTTTTTTTCTTCCTGGCCAAAAACTTACCTCCACTGGTAGAAGTCTATTATAATTTTAACTTAAATATATTTAAAAATCATTATTTATTGATTATCATTTAATTTTGTAACATTATTAATGTAACATAATTTTTTTTAGGAAACTTTTAGTACTTCCCAAGTTGCCAGCAAACCTGTTATAGAATATGTGAATTTGAAATTTGTTGAAAACAATTTTAAAACATCAGGGAATCCACAAGCATTTGATAGAAATGATATAATGAGAGCTGAAATGGAATTTGAATCGTAAATAAAACATWACATTAATATCAATAATATCACAATGATTTATAATTATATTAATTAAATATTTTTTTAGGTTTGAAATATGGTTTTCACACGTGAAGGAATATGCTGTTGACAGAGAATTTATCAAAGATCTTCGTCTACCATTATTTTGTCATCTTTATTTGGATTTATATGCACCGGTTAATCATGCATGCTTACAGGCATTTTTGAACAAATTTCGATATTTATTTTCAAGTCATGGAGGAAGTATTTATTTGGAAGAGTTAAGGAATGTTACGAATCTATTAAATTTATCACCTCGCCTTGCATATTTCAGGTAAATGGTTTATTGTATGTAATCATTTAATTGTTCACATTAATAATAGCATTATATGTATTATTTCAGAAGAAACAAATTCGTATATGGCGTYTCTCCTAAGTTTATAAGCAATCTATACAGTTTTTTTAATCTTAATTATATGCTACAAACGGTTTGTATATTATACTATAATATTCTAGATAATATGAATAATTTAATTATTATTAAGAC